CCTGTCTTTGAGATTCATTTAAATAATTAACACTTTTTGACTAATGAGAGGCTGTGTATGTATAACATAACGATTCAATCAAAATTTCATTTAGTTAGATTTATTCCCCTATTGAAACTCGTTCTTGTCCAGTAATAAATCCTTTGAACGAGTTTGAAAAGGGAAATAAATTTGTCATACTTTTCATGAATTAAGATTTAGTTTTGTAAATGGAACCCATTCTTAACTGTAGAAGCCGTACTTGCCAATATACGCTTTTCAAATAATCAAATCTCATATAGTTAGTGTCCTTTCTCATTTTTATCGTTCTTGTCCAGTAATTTCATTCTTGAGTAATACGAATGTTTTAACAATTCCGCATTTCGTAAGATTTATCTTTCTCATTAAAGTTGTTCTTGTCTAGCTGTAATACAAGCCTTGAACGAATTCCAATGTGAAATCATATAAATAAATACTGATCTGTCTTATTAAGGTTAAATTCTAAATATTGTCATTGGAAATATAGGACCAGTTCATAATTTCAATAAATTTGTTATCTATGTCAAGGCTGTGAAAATCTTGAATAAATTTTGAACATTCATGAAAAAGGTTATATCGAATATCGTCATAAAGAGTGCATTCCATAAGGAAATGTTTTTCAGTCTCTACACTGCAACTTTCACAAAACTTAATAACATCGTGTTATTCATTTTAAACGTAACACAGTACTAACAACACAATTCATAAACAACAATAAAGATAATCCAATCAATTTTGTTGATTGGATAATTCACTGCTCAGTAGTTGTGTAATCAGTGACACATGCCCTCATTATTTCAAAAGAATTAACATATCTATCTAAGTTCGATTTCAAATTCTACCAAAATTTAACTCTTAAATAAGCAGCGTGAAACGAATATATTCATCTATCCTGTGTGCAAATACGATGACTATAAAGGGTCCTGATTGCACATTGTATGTCCTGAGTGCACTCAGGAGGTCCTGAGCAGTGTTTAGACGTACCCATAAAATTTTGCATGAACTTGTTTGACTTTAAGTAAAGTAAGGCAAATGTGCATACAATATGTACAAGTGTTTATATGTCTATACCTGACTTATATCAAGTAACAACACTTAATGGAATATGGAGAATGTATTCATATGACAATAGAACCAATAATCAAAAATAAGTGTTGAGATAGGGTAGAGTTTTTCAATTTGAGATTTCCTGTCTCACTCTATGATGCATGGCAACATTCACACAATTTATCCTGATGTTTCAAGGCAGGCTACATTTGAAGTATTGCAAAAATTACCATATTATAGTGTTGCCTTACAACATCCAACTGCAGGGACAAATAAGATCAATTTTGTCGTTTTGGTAAGCGTTGTCTGTGTCACACTTTGAAAATTCAACCAGACTTGCACAGATTCTGCTAGATCATAAGTTTGAGCACCTATTTTGATTTTTGATCAAAAATATTCTTACGGTTTCCCATATGCATACCATTTATATCAATTTGTTAATCCACAACTCCTTGAAATAAAGGTTAGATAGAACTCCACAAAACTTGCACAGAGATATTTATAGGAACAAAACAAGATGCAGGGTGTACATGTATGTCAATGAGACAGAAACCCAATGAGACACAAAAAAAAACTGAGACATTTTAATATCAACATACCTATATTACCTTCAACAGAACTTCAGATTTTCTGTAGTCTAAGAAAAACCTTTGTATGTCTAATTTTTTTCAAGTCTTGCACTTTCACTGGCTGTTGGTAATATTAGAGACAAATCTCCTATACAGTCAGTGTTCTCCCCAGGCCCTTAAAGGACCGCGGGCCCCCAATGTATAATTTTTTACCGTGGTGGTATCGTTCTTACCGCGATGTATAATTTTTCTCCGTGGTGCTAAAATTTTCAGTTAAAAAATCGTAAATCGGTAAAGTTTGAAACGACTTGTTAAATCTTTTCCGTGCGGTATAAAATTCCAGGTGAAATTTGACCAGTTCAAACCAGTTCAACACAGATTGTTTACACCACGTGATCGATTTACCTTATGAGGTTAACCTTGTTGATTGGATTTAATCGATGTAATTAACACTTGTAACATGATTCTTTTGTGTTTTAATTAAGAGTTCATAACTTTATGATCACAGATAACTATTTTATGGCTTCACTCTCCACCCAAGCACTGACCTGTGACAAGTCGGCAAATACTTTGTACACAAACAGTGTCTTGACCCGATAGGTACATTTTTTGTACATCATAATGGTGGCTCATTACGTATAATGGACAACTATACATTTCCCAATTCTTATATTATAGTATTATATGCCTCTGATTAAACCATGGCCAATATTATCTTTAATTATGACATAGTTATTGCATGATAGTCGGGTTTCAAACTGTAGTATGTGTCTGTACATATCACATGACCCAGTTAGTTCACGTAGAATATTCAAGTTTATTTACAATTACATTGTAATTGCAATCTATTATATTTCATAAATAAAATGCATGACTGTACCTTCAAACTGGATATCTATATCCATAATTAATGAATAACAGAAGTAATCTTGCAAATTTTATCCATAAGCACATGTTAAATCTATTTATATCTACTTCCTGTCATTTAGGAGGGAAAATAGGGAGACTTAGTTGTTGACATTGAATATGGTTACTTGTAGATCTATAGACCAAAGATAAATTTATAGATTTAGGAATTCTTTTTAAATGGTTCATGACAAATAAAGATTTAGATTTTAGGGCAGTATTAAGTTTGTATCTATGTTTGATTATCACCAAAGACAAGAAAGGTTAATATTTACATGAAATCTATGGCAAAATGTTCTAAAATTTATGAAAAATTTCTTTTTATTAAAATCTAAGATAGAAACTGGTTCAAATAATAAAACAATATTTGCAATAGTTCTTGTTAATTTTATATCTTCTTATGACAGGAATCCTTTCACATACAACAACTTTTTTTCTAAAACTAGAAAGTTTTTTAAATTGAACATTTTTGTTCTCTTTTGAATGATATTTTATTTTTATTGATTTTGGATTTTATAAAAGATTTAAGTACTTTAAATTCAGATGAATATTTTATTATGAATCATAATTTATTTATTTTAAAAAAAATATTAAAGTATACAAACTTTTTTTATTTATTTCTTTTTTACCAATAATTTTCTGAATCAATGTCTACATAACACAGTACCACAGTGTTAAAACAAAACAAGAAACATAAAAACTACAGTAACTAGAGCTAACTGTCCACATTGAGGTCAAAAGGGTCCAAAATTAAACTTTGTTTGATTTCATCAAAAATTGAATTCTTGGGGTTCTTTGATATGCTGAATCTAACCATGTATTTAGATTTTGGATATTGGACCATAATAGGTGAATGTCCAATTTAAAATTTTTAAGTTCTAAGACCACATTCATTCTGTGTCAGAAACCTATGATGTGTCAAATATTTAATCACAATCCAAATTCAGAGCTGTATCAAGCTTGAATGTTGTGTCCATACTTGCCCCAACTGTTCAGGGTTCGACCTCTGCGGTCGTATCAAGCTGCGCCCTGCGGAGCATTTTATTCTCTAATGTTTTTATTTTTTAATTTTTTCATGTTATTTTTTATTTGTTATTTGTTTTTTTGCTTCTTATTCTTTTAATTTCTTCTTGCAAAGAATCTTGAGTAAAAATGCCAAAAATTCAAAGATAAGTTATTGACTAGCATTTGAAAACAAAACAGAGAATCCTTTAAATAATTATTTTTTTCAGTAAAAAAAAGTTATTGTACATGATGTGCATGGAATTCTATTGTTTGTTTGCATTATAATATGAATTATTATTAATTATAACTTATAATCATGAAAATGATATGTTTAAAGGAACCATGAAGCAAGTAATTTAACAACCCAGCAGGCACAACAACGTTGATTCAACATTGAATAAACGTCAGATTTCAACGTTGAATCAATGTTGAAAAGTAGTGTTGGATTGAAAATTGATATGACGTTGAAAACATAACGTTGATTCAACGTCAGCTTTCAACGTTGAAAATAGGTTGAATTTTGGTCTAAATTTGGTCAGTGTATGTTGAAAAAAAGTCGATTGCTGGTTGAATTGTGGTTAGTGTATGTTGAAATCAGGTCGAATGTTGGTTGAACTGTAGTAAGTGTACGTTGAAATCAGGTCGAATGCTGGTTGAACTGTGGTCAGTGTATGTTGAAATCAGGTCGAAAGCTGGTTGAACTGTGATCAATGTATGCTGAAAACATGTCGAATGTTGGTTGAACTGTGGTCAGTGTATGTTGAAATCAGGTCGAAAGCTGGTTGAAATGTGGTCAGTGTATGTTGAAAATAGGTAGGATTTGGGTCCAGGTAGACTGTTTTAGAGTTAATTTAAGTTGAAACTAGAAATGTGGTCAATGTTGAGAATAGGATGTTGAACATTGGTTAAATTGAGGTTTGATAACAGCTGAAATCATTACCCTTATTATATCAATCAATACCATTTTATGTGTAATAAAACTATCGCAAAACTATATGTACTAAGTGGTAGTAGTCATGCGTCGGTGGTTGATGTACATGTAGTCTGTTGCAGAATTCAATATTTATGTCATTGAAATTTCTGCCTGTTCGAATATTTCCCTTTTTAAATTTCTCTACATTTTATGATCAAGTGGAAAATAAGTCATTCTCTTTGTTTCGGTAATACTGGTAAGGAGACCACTCATTTCTGAATCTGATGTTTATTATTCAAAACTTGACAAGAAGAACAGGAACAATTTATTAACCATGTTAACCTTACCAGGCATAGATAATCGGAAACTTTATTGTAATGTCAGTTGGCATACATTTTTGTAACTTTATTTTTCTTTATAGACAGGATCTTGTTGTGCTTATAACTATTCTGTTAACACACAAAATATGTTTGTGACATAAAATAGTAATTATATAACAAGTTGCTCACATATGCATCTTACAATTTTAAACAAACACAAACTGAACAATTAATTTTATTTAAAAGTTTAGTCCTTCTGCTAGACACATTCCCAGATATAACAGGGGCATATTTTAGGTATCTTGCACAGTAGTTCCATATTGTGGTCTCTGTTGCACATTAGTCACTTGTAACTACAGCATCTGCAACAGAAAAAAACATATTGTACTATCTTTATCATAACTTCGTAAATATCATTATGCAGCTCTAATAAAGAATGCTACTGTTATACGTGAACAAACTAGATATCATTGAGATGGGAGCCATCTCTGTGGGCCCCGATGTGAATAATGTGCATTACATTTTTTTTATCTTTACCATAGGACATGGGGTTGTCAACTGAAACCAAAGTTTTTGACCTTGAACTTTGGCCTAGGAAGTTGCACATAAATTATGACACACCCTCTGGTGTTGGTTTATATACATGTCAAGTATAAACTTTGAAATCATAACGGTTCTTAAGATATAGAGCGGACACGATCTTTACCATAGGACATGGGGTTGTCAACTGGAACCAAAGTTTTTGACCTTGACCTTTGACATAGGAAGCTGTACATACATTATGACACACACTCTGGTGTTTGTTAATATACATGTCAAGTATAAACTTTGAAATCATAACGGTCCACAAGATATAGAGCGGACACGATCTTTACCATAGGACATGGGGGTTCTCAACTGAAACCAAAGTTTTTGACCTTGACCTTTGACCTAGGAAGTTGTACATACATTTTGACACACCCTCTGGTGTTGGTTAATATACATGTCAAGTATAAACTTTGAAATCATAACGGTTCTTAAGATATAGAGCGGACACGATTTTTACCATAGGACATGGGGTTGTCAACTGGAACCAAAGTGTTTGACCTTGACCTTTGACATAGGAAGCTGTACATACATTATGACACACCCTCTGGTGTTTGTTAATATACATGTCAAGTATAAACTTTGAAATCATAACGGTTCTCAAGATATAGAGCGGACACGATCTTTACCATAGGACATGGGGGTTCTCAACTGAAACCAAAGTTTTTGACCTTGACCTTTGACCTAGGAAGTTGTACATACATTTTGACACACCCTCTGGTGGTGGTTAATATACATGTCAAGTATAAACTTTGAAATCATAACGGTTCTCTAGATATAGAGAGGACACAATGTGTTACGGACGGACAAACGGACGGACAGACGGACAGACAGACTGATCACTATAGGGCGTCCGCCATTTGGCGGGGCCCTAATAATCTCTGTGCAATGCTATTGTTATTTCTTTAAATATCTATTGAGAGCGACCATGTGTTTTTTTAACTTGAGTTCAGACATGAGAAAATAAAAATATTTCTAAAAAAAACAAAGATTTTAGAGACAAAATGACAAAATCTCACACAATTTGTAATATGGAAAAACAATGATATATATATTATTTCAATACTCACCTCTTATTATTTCAAACTAGCTTGAATCATTTGTGAATCACCGAAGGCATGTTTATTCTTCATACCCGGTAATATGCAATTTCAGACACGGGTTTATTTGTAAGACATCTACAAAAAAAATCAAAGCACCAAAGGCGCTATAGGCAGTTAATTAAAAACATCAAAGGTAAACTTGGCAGAAGTTAAGATGAATATAGTGGAAGAATGGATGAAAATATTTTTCTCTAATTCTTCGTCAATTTATCCCTTTCTGCACCCATTGTATAAAAAAAATTTAATCAACGTGTGGTTCGTTTGATCTCAGTTCTTCATTGGTTAAAATCCGATTATGACGTCGAATTTACTTGCTTTCCTCTGAATTTCCTATTGTGACGGCATGAAAAAAGGCGACCATGCCTGATGACGTCACATAGAAAGAACACATCTTTTTACAGACAGTTAAATTTTAAATATTTAAAACGCTTGGCGAGCCTCGCGTTTTAAATTTGAAAATTTAACTGTCTCGAGTGGATAAATATCGTATCACACTCGATGCAGTGGTAGAATCTATATATCTCAGCTATTTCTCAAGTAACAAATAATGTTTGTACCGTAATGTTTCTGCTATCCAATCCTACCACTTTCAAAAGTTATTTCCAATTTATTTTTTAAAGATTTAATGTTTGAGATTATGCACATACACTGTCCCATGTTAGGGGAGAGTTTTGTGCCAGCTAACATGTTTAACCCGCCACATTCTGTATGTACCTGTCCATAGTGAGGACCCAGTAATTTGGTGATTGTTGATTGTTGCTGTATATCATATTTATTTTTCATAATTGTTTTGTACATAAATCAGGCTGCTTTAGTTTTATTGTTTTACATTTGTCATTTCGTGGTCGTTTATATCTTACTATGCAGTATAGGTTTTACTAATTGTTGCAGGCTGCATGGAGGAATATTCTTTTCAGAATAATAATTATGGTGTCCAACAATAGTGTATGGTTTAATTCCACTATGTACTAGAGTTTGAATATGCCATATTAGCGCTTTTAGTTGGATCAGCTGGTGCCACTATGCACAATTATCAAATCATACCTGAAACTATCTGAAATGGTGTAATTTTCTTGTATACTAGTATTACAAGAAATGTTGATGTTGTTATAATGGCCTAGCAATGATGCAACATATATTTTTGAAGGCTGTACGGTTGCCTGTAATTGCTTACAGCCACTTCATTTGAATTTTGGTGGATAGTTGTCTCATTGGCAATCATAGCACATCTCCTTATTTTTATAATAATTACGCATGTCTAATCTATAATAAGCTATAAACACAACGTAATGTTTTGCCTATTTGTTATTTTGATAATGCAAATGTTACACTTAAAATAGTAATACTTTAACATGTAAGTGATATTCAAAGTCAATGAACCATGACTGAAGGTACAAGGCTAAACAATCTCTATGGAAATGAAAGGTGCCAATGCTTGTTCAACTGCAAACCAAATACCATTGACTTTTCATAAGTCGTTCCCTTTAAACAAACCTTATCACAAATTCAATTTCTAAGTCAATGAACCATAATGAGGGGGTGAGGTTATATAATATCCATGGAAATGAAACTTTTGAATACCAATACGTTCGCATACCAAATAGCTTTGACTTAAGATTACTGGTAATTTTAAACTGACATAATCATAATAATCACAAACTGATTCATGTAAACTATGTAAAAGTTTCAAAGTCGATAGATCATGCATATGACTGAGGGGTGAGGACCAAATATCCTCTATGGAAATGAGACGTACTAATGCTTCTACACCTACATGCCAATTATCATTGACCTACCACTATTGGTTTCCCTAATACTAACCTAATCGAAAACTAATAAATGAAATTTCAAAGTAACAAAATTTTCAGGTAAAAAGAGCATGATTGAGGGGGCGGGGCCAAATAATCTCAATGGAAATTAGAAATGAAAAAGTTTATACAACTGCACACCAAATATCATTGACCTACCACTAGTGGGTCCCCCTAAACTGACCTAACCACAAACATATACATGTAAACTATGCAAAGTTTCAAAGTCAATAGACCATGACTAAGGGGGTGGGGCCAAATATTCTCTATGGTAATGAGATGTGCCTATGCTAACACAACTACTTACAAAATGTCATTGACCTACCAGAAACCAGACCTTATCACAAAATCACAAACTAATACATTGTTGATTCCGCCAAAACAGCATGCCTATATATATATATATGTCTCACTTTTTGACTCTGTCAAGGCAAGACAAAAATTGCATCAAATTTAATACAAATATTTTGTCCATCTTTTTTTAATATTCTTCATTTCTTAGATGTATCAATGCTGCGTTCACACATAATTCGAATTCGATTCACATTATTAACTGATTTGAATTAGTTTAATACGCATTCGAAACGTTTAATGTCCAAAAGTAAATTCTACTTGGAATTGCAATACACGTCAATATCGCTTTACTGTGAATGCAGGGGTTAAAATTAACATTTGGTACTGGACAGTCCAGGACCTTTGACACTCCAAACTGAAAGGTCCACAACCTAAATTCCAGGTCCTGCTTTTACTTGAAATAGTTCATAACTCAGTAAGATACTTTAATGTGCTTTTGGTGTTAAGTTAGCTTGTTTCATTGTCAGTGTCACTGTCGTTTAACATGTTTAATAATAAATGTAATTGTCTTGTATATTAATTTATGAATTCAAATAATCTTTTTTTTTGTATTAGGAAGGCTGAGGGAGGCTGAGGGTATCACTGTGGGTGGGTGTGTTGTCTCAACAATTGATTATTTATTACTAATTATACCATTAATTTATATTAAACAGTTCAAAACTGTTTACAGCAGATTCCATTGAGTGTGTAGCCAAAGGTAATATCTTTGGTTAGCTTGCTTGTTAGCTGAACCGTGAAGTCATTGTTAGGTTAGGTAAACTACCCTACTTTAAGAATAGACTAGTCCGACAGAAAACCAATCGATCTGTCTGTTGGACTATGCTACTTTGAAAGGAGGGTAGTATACCTGACCCAATAATGACTTCACGGGTCAGCTAACAAGCAAGCTAACCAAAGATATTACCTTTCACTACACACTCAATGGAATCTGCTGTAAGTGTATCATATCTAGTTGCACTATATATTATATTAGCTAGTTCCTCTGTGAAAATAAAGTAAGAAACTTCCAGATTTTTATAGGCCCTTCAAAATTGAGAAGAAATTACCTCATGGAATTGTAGTAATATGTTTAAACAATAAAAACATCTACATGTAATATCAATATTTATTAATGATAAGGAAAATACTGTCACATTTTATTGGTTTTTGACATGAAAATTTGTGAACTAAAAGTAATTTTGAGTTTCTGTATAAAATATTTCCTGCTTTTTCTTTCTTTTCAATATATCTTTGGTTTTCAATTCTAGAGTTTATATTTCATCATGATAGATGTATTTTGTCTCATGCCTGGAATTATTATATTTTTATTGTATTTGATCGGCAAACCCGGAATTACCCTTATCCGCCCCCGGAATTAGATCCGGTATTATAATTGTCTTCATTTCCGGTTTATGGCATCCATTGTTTTTCAATGTTGTTTTTGTCAGTCAGATACGATTTACTCGGATTTACACATAACATGTTGGCGATTTTCGGTATAAAGCTAGCGGTTGAACAAAATGATTATTATCAGAAATCACCAAATTTAAAACGTCCTTGATTTACGTTTTGTCGACGAAGTTAAAATTACCGCCAACTGAGACTTCAACTCCGTGTCATATTAGTCACAGCCGTTATACAATATTCCTGCGCTTTGTGCCATTTGGCAACTGTAAACGACTTGTAATTAGAGATTTTCGGCGATGAAATAATTCATGCAATTGTTCTTTGACATCTTGGCCAAAAGCACAGGGGATAATAAACTACATAAGGATTTCTATTGAGCACTACTTCCTATGTGCAACTTCAAAACTTTTGGGTGGTTCGACGATCATTTAAGGTTTTTCTGGTCATATTTTTTGTATTCCAGAATTAAAAGTATGAAAAAAGTGTTCAATTAGTTATAAATAACATAATAGCCAGCCAGATAATAACAATGGCACATATTTCAGCATTTATTGGGTAGAACACCAATCCTGGGTGCTCGCATAAAGCAGCTTAACTGCTTAAAAATTAAGTGCAGCATTTCTAAATTGTCAACTCACTCTTTAACTTGAAAATAAAGTTTCATATGTGTGAAACGCTTACAAAATTTTGACTTTCAAAACCTTTCATAAATTGTTTGAAAACCTTATGGTTCAATTATTTTTATTGTAGCATGACGTTAAATTTGTCCTCCATAATCCAACAAGATTCTGGAATCAGTAGCGGATCCAGAAATTTTCATAAGGGGGTCCACTGACTGCATAAGGGGGGCGCTCCAGTCACGTTTCATTGATTCCTTATATAATCAACCATTGTTTTCCTCAAAATGGGTGCCCGGCACCGTCCCCAGCTCTGCCTCTGAGAATCAAGGGCTTTAATTATAACAAATTTTAATCCTTAATTATAGTTTGTAGATCTCACAATACCCTAATGGGGTTTCAATTTTATTTATCTTGACCATCACTTATCTTGAGAAACAATAATGCACCACAGGCAACAAGATCTTGGCAGTCATTTATCTTGAGAATCAATAATGCATCACAAGCACCGAGATCTTGACAGTCACTCATCTTGAGAAACAATAATGCACCACAAGCACCGAGATCTTGACAGTCACTCATCTTGAGATACAAAAATGCACCACAAGCAGCAAGATCTTGACAGTCACTCCTCTTAAGATACAAGAATGTCCCTATATATACTTTTTTTAGTGTTTCGGCAGATATATAAAGCTTTGGATGGTCATCTTAAAAGATGCATTACTTTAATATAATTCAAAATAAATATTATTCCCGTATAATTAACTATATTAATATATATGTCTTTTTACATCTAAATTCTTCATCAATAGATACTTTCGGCATGGTTGCT